GGGGGGGGGGGAAGTGCTTTAATTTTGTGGGTGGAGGCAGCAGGCCGAGTGGCAGGCACTGGCTTTGAAGCCAGTCAGACCTAGATCTCAGTCCCAGGTGCCCTCGCATGCTGGGTGGCCTGGTGCTGACGACCACCCACTGGCCCCGGGTTTCCGTTTGTGGCGCCGGGGAGCTTGTTTGCAGCAGGCAGGCCGGCGGGGAAGACGGACTTGGCCGCTGCACCCGAGCGTCGCATGGCAGACTCGGCTGTGTGCCGGCACCTGACCTCAGCTCGGTGCGCCGGTCAGGAGGTGGCCGTGCTCGTTCATGCCCGCGGGGCTCCAGGGAGGCCGCCCGGGGCGCTGGTGCCTCGGCGAGGCTCATGCCCATGTCTTCCTACAGGGGAGGACCGCCTCGGGCGACGCATCATCACGTTCAGCTGCTGCCGGATGCCCCCCTCGCACGAGCTCAACCACAGGCGCCTGCTGGAGTAAGTCCCACCCTGTGGCTGCGCCCGTCCACACGCCCCTCCCGGGCACGCGCCAGCCCGCACACGCCTCCCTGTGCACGCGCCGGCCCGCACACGCCTCCCTGTGCACGCGCCGGCCCGCACACGCCCCTCCATCACTCAGCGCAGAACCGTTGTTCAGGGTCAGAGGCTGACATACGTACACTGACTAGGGGATCCCCAGGCAGGTGTCACATCGACTGCCAGGTCCCCAGACCTGCCCAAGGGACTGCTCCCTCTCCAGCCCAAGGTGGCTTCAGGGCCAGTCCTGAGCTTTGACCTTAAGCCTCAGCGCCCTTTTGGGCCTCCCTGTCTGTCAGAGCCCTTTCCATATGTCCGTCCGTCCCCCGCCCCCCAGGCCCTCTGTATTTGCTGTTTCCTGCTCAGAAGGAAGCACCTTCCACTTACCTGTGTGTGGCCTCGGCCACCATCACCCCTTCCGTCCGGCCCCTTGCCACTGGCATCGGCACACTCTGTGCGAGGGCCACGCTGCTTCCAGTGCCCCCTCCTGGTGGGGCCAGTGAGCTGCAGGCGAGCAGGGCACCACTGGCACCTTTTTCTGGAGTCGCCTCTGGGTGAGCGGGAGACCTCAGCCCGGACACACTCCACCGGGGGGAGGAAGCCTCGCTCTGGGGACAGCTCCTGCTCCACACGTGGCCGCTGTTTCCACCACACGTTCTCCCTGTCCAGCAAGTTATGCTGCGAGGCAAGTCCCAGCCAGGTTGCCTGCAGTGGCCAAAAGGCCCAAGTGACTGTGTTTGGGGCACTTCTTGTGCCCACGGGGCTCACATAGCTGCTCCTGTCTTAGATCTGCTCCCTGACGACACTCTGCGGTTCACTCTCACGGCTGGACCCTGGCCCATTTCTGGGCATCTCTGGGAACATTTGTGTGCCCCTGTGTGGGACAGAGAGAAGTGTTGGCTGCCCGAGGAGCCTCGCTCATGACTGGGGACAGCTCAGAAGGCCGCAGTGGCAGGGAGGCTGTGCCAGCACTCCCAGATCCCGGGTCCCAGATCCCATGTCCAAGGTCCCAGGTCCCAGGTCCCAGATCCTGGCCAGTAAGGCCCACCCACCTCCCACCCACAGCGTGGCTCAGAGCAGCCGCCGTCTGGAGGCCCAGCTCACAAAGGCAGGGTCAGGTCCAGACACACCTGGAAGCCTCTGGGCTGGTTGCTTCCCGAGAATTCCTGGACCCAAGCTTCCGATCACATCCGTTAGAGAACCTCCAACAGCAGCTCAAGATCCAGTAGTGACGGCAGAATCCCCCTGGGACCCCGTGTCCGGGACAGTCTCAGCCCATATTGCTGCCACCAGGAGGTGTTGGCCTCCCTGGGAGAGCTGACACCATCTGCATCCCACTGTCAGGGCTCACGGGACCCTCCGGGAGAGAGGGACACCGGGTCCCAGGACACGCTTATCCCGGGGTCCTCTGAGATTAAACACACTCCCTTGTCAATCTGTCCCTTTTGTGGCATCAACTAGTCCATGACTGTGGGTGGGCCCACACTGAGAGTGCCACTGCTGGGCCAGGAGCGAGTCCAGGGTTTGTCTTCTGGTAAAGACGGAAGTACCCCGGACAGACAAAGCAGGCTGGTGGTTGCTGGGGCAGGGGGCAGGGGACGTCACGGCCATGGGCTTTCTTTGGGGTGATGGAAATAACTGGAACTAGAGAGAGAGGTGTTGACACAACACTGAACGTGCTAAATGCCACGGAATTGTTTACTTTAGTGTTATGAATTTCACCTCCATCCAAAAAAACCTGACCACAGTTGGTACGTTGTATTTTTGGGTGTTTTTTAAATTTATTTTTTATAGAGAGAGAGAAACATCAATCGGCTGCCTCCTCCACGCCCCCCTCCTGGGGATCGAACCCCCAACTCAGGCGTGTGCCCTGACTGGGAGTCGAACCTGCAGCCTTTCGGGTGTGACGTCCGACCAGCGGAGCCACACCGGCCAGGGCCACGGTCGGTGCGCTGAGCTCTTAGTGCACCTGCCCGAGAGTGCGGCCGCTGTGAACAGCTGTGTGGGTCATTCACTGCCCAAGGGCCTCAAAACGAGGGGCTGCCACCCGCGGGTGCCCTTCTCCCAGTGTGGAGGCGGGAGCACCTCCTCCTAATTCAGACAGGGGTGGCCGTGGGCTTCTGGCCTTGTCCTCTGTCTCCCCTGTGCCTGGCCCGCCTCACACCTGCCGTATCAGGGTACCTGTGATGGCAGCCAGGGCCACTTGGAGAACCCAGGATTAGGGCCTCCCCTCGGGACCCCTAACTTAATCACGTCTGCTCAGACCCTTTCCCCAGCGAGGCCCCGTTCACGGCTCCCAGGGACCTGACCTGGATGTCTTTTGGGGGGCATTTTTGGCCTACCACATCCACTCCCTGGCTGTGTGACTTTAGAGAAATCCCTTAACATCTCTGAGCCTCAGCGGTCATCTAACAAACGAGGCCCGGGCCCCCCGGTGAGTAGATTCTCCGCATGGCCCTAGAGGTGATGCCGCCCGGCCCAGGGCTGGCGCCCGGCTTCCGTCCCGGGGGGGCCTGCCGGGAGGGGGGCTTTCGTGAGCGAGCCTGCGCTTCCTGCGCAGGTATCTGAAGTACACGCTGGACCAGTACGTGGAGAGCGACTATACCATCGTCTACTTCCACTGCGGGCTGACCAGCAGGAACAAGCCGTCCCTGCACTGGCTCCGGGGCGCCTACAAGGAGTTTGACAGGAGGTGGGTGCCCGTGAGCCCGCGGGTGTGGCCAGGGGCGGGAGTTGGGTGACGCGGTGGGGGGGGCACAG